AGCTGCTGCCTGTCGTTACGTGCGCGTCAGCACGTTTCTTCCGTTTTCGCCTCGGCAGAGGTAGAGGCGGGCGAAAAAAAAAAAAAAAATTGTTGAAGAAAAACATGCGATGTTTTATTTATTATTTTGTATGAGTCGATTAGCATGCTTTTTGTTTTTGGCATAAAGCAAATACGATTAATCAAATGAGCCATAAATATACACACAAACACTTGTATGTGTGTGTGTGTGTGTGTCAATATAAATGGCCATTTAATTAGACGCATGTGCAGGGCGCGGGCACTAGATGGCGCCACATCACATAATTAGCAGCGACAGCGACCGCATTTAGTTTCAATTAACAAAAAGTCAACAATTGTTATTGCTTTGTGTTAATTAAGCGACAACAACAACAACAACAACAACAGCAACTGTTGACTGTTGCCGCTGCTGGGCTTCAATTGTTATTGCCGCTGCAGGCCCCGTGGAAGTCATTGACATTTTGCACATTGCAGCAAGATGCGCGTTACAAAATGCTAGTTGCCAACTTGTGCAAATAGACAGCGGTTGGGGGTGGCGAACGGAGGCAGTTGTCTACTCTTAGCAAGTGCGAATAAAAAATATGTCTAAAACGAGTAGCTTGTGAGCTTGTCGAGTGCGCTTGACTACCAGATACCCTGTACAGAGCTAAAAAAGGCATGTTGTCTTGCATCTATCTACTTTTGCGCGCTCTCTCATTCACACTTTTAAAATTAAGTTTTAAATAAGAGTTCTGTTTATCGTTTAATTCTTTGATAATGCTCAGTACTAAAAATTGATGTTTTAATACCAAATATTGAAGCTGTTCCTTTTAAAAAGTATATATTTTGGATGTACGATGAAGTCTCTAATTAGTGAAAGATACTTTGAGCTTTGAGTTATACTACAAATAAAGTGTTTGAAAATCGATATTTATCGTTTTTAAAGAAAGAACAGTTATTTAAAAGTGTAAATAGACTTGAAAAGTGTATGCTTAGGGCACACAAGAACCAGTATACCAAATTTGTGATGTCTCGTGATTCTCCAGAAGGCAGGAAGAGAACTATCAAGGAACAGAGATTCGGTAGTTATCGATTTTGGGGCAATTGAGAGAGTTATCAAAAGTCAACTAAATCTGTCATATGATATACGACAAACTACATGTCTAAATGTGTCTCAAGTTTCTTCACATAAAGACCCCAGTGTACCCACTTCAAAGGAGTGCAGGGTATATTGACACACACAACGTCCGGACTTGCAGGCCCTGTGCCTAGTCGGCGGCGGTTACTATAAAAACCTCGGTAAATAAGACAGCATGGCAAAGCGACAGCAAGAACTGTCTCTAACAATGGCAACAGCTCATAAAACTGCAATTGCAAAGTCTTGGCAAATAACCGCAGCGACAACAGATATGAACCAAGTGGAAGAAGCAGCATGCAAAAACATGGCCAGTAAATTGATATATAGTATATATGAATGGGTTTAAAGGCGCGACAGAAACGCAAATAACAACAATATTATTTGTAATACCCAACAACACTCGCCATTAATGAATGCATTTGCTTTGTTTTTGTACACAGTTCTGTTTGCACCAAAAAAAAAAAAAGAGGAGAAAAAACAGTACATAAAAATAATAAGTGTCTTGGCTGATTAGATATTACAGCACCAAGTAAACAAGTCGTTAAAATTTACATGCGCAACAAATTTTATTTGCGGCATTTAACAACAATCTGCGGCACTCGAGAGTGTGTACACACTGCACAAGAGTGCATGGTCACACTTGAAGGCAATCATTTTGATGCAAAACATGCAAATGTGGGCATATAAATGGAAGACATGTGGAGAACACTATCTTAAGAGAAATTTCCATAATATCTAAATGTAAATTAAGATTTATACCAATTTTAACTTTTAATGTTAAGTTAGCAGAAGTAGAGCTCTGTTAGTTAGCAGTTTTATTTTAAGCTCATTTTAATGAAATGTTAGGATTATTTGCAGCTGTGTGGCAACGCCAGCACAATGTTTAACCCTTAATTGCGGTTCATTAACATGGTATAGTTCCTATTTTGATTCAAAATAAGGTTCGTAGCTACAAAATTGATCAAATTTTAATCAGGTTTGACAACGCCTTGTCTTTAAGTTGATATCAGGATCAAAACTATGAGGTGTGGTAACACTTTTTGGTGTTATTTTTTTTTTGTCAGGTGGCTACTTTGTTGTGCTAACTGCTTGTCAAATAGTTAACAACCAGATAGAGTAATGTTATAATGAGGAGCATCCTTTGATGCCTCACATTTACCTTGACATCATGTTAAAGTGCTTTGTTTATTTGCTTGAATACCTGAAAAACTGGAGCTCAATCAGTTGATTATACTGATATGTATATTACGCCCGGTGACACACACACAAACATTTTGGCACTAGGGTCAATTGCAGTTGGAAATGCGGAAGTGCTACACAAGCGCTTAGATAATGCGAAACACTCTACATAAATGATGAGAATTTACATATATATCAAATATATAAAGCTGACAGCTGTGACATGTTGTTTATTTTATTAATGCATTTAATTTCACCTGATGATGATGATGATGATGATGATGTTGTTGATGTTGATGATAATCTTGTTGCATCTATCTAGTCCACACACAATAAATAGACGAATTGCTGACCAGGGCAGAGCAAAAGCCAGAACCAGACAGAACACATTGTTATTTGATTTGTGTTGACGTTTGCATTTTATACCTTAATTCAATTTAATTTTCGCTCTCTGTCGGTCGATTTGACGGTTAGTTCATTGTCGGGTTATGCATATGCCAGTGAAAGAGGGTTTTGTATTTAAACTGAGTGTCAAATTTAGCATTGCTGTCACACAGCCAACACGTGCTACAGTCCTGAATGCTAATCTGGCCTGTTAAGTGTGGACTATGAAATACCCTGTAACTTTAATATTCCGTTTATATCAAAGTCTTCATAGAAGATCTACATATATCGTTTGGCTCACTTTGGTTTAAAGACTAAAAAAAGGTTTTGGAATAGAAACTAACTCAACGTTATATTTAGTAGAATTTCGATGGACATTTAACAGGGACTAAGTTTAGATTAGTTCTTTAATAACAGCCTTGAGAGAGGAAAACTTTGTGTAAAAGTTATATAGATAGATTTTGATAGAAAATGGGAAAGAACACGAGCTCTTGATAATTTCATTTCTTGTTGTAGGTCTGAAAAAGTAAAGAAAATCACTTTCACCAGCAGGAATTTAGTTTGTTTTTCGATTTAATAATACAAAGAGGATAAAACTTTAGTTGTGATTTCTGGCCTAATAATAGAAGAGTGTAAATAGATACCCTATTGTTCACGACTGCTTACAGGGTATACACATATATAGAGTATGTTTATTTGTAGCCATCAGTGTAATCACAAGACAATTTGAAGCGCTTACGTTAATGCTATCTTTCTGTTTTGTCTGTTTGACAGTATTTTTTGTTTGCCCTACACGAGCATTTTGCTACAATGTTTTTATTTTTATGTACAGGAGAGGGGTATCTGATTCTATTGTGCCAATAATTATGCTGCAAAAAATAACAACAACAACAACAAAAATAGAAAATACAAGTAGTGCTTTTGCTTTTCGGGGCCTACAACATTTTGCCATTGCACTAATTGTTTGTTGTTTACTTGTTTGGTTTTTGGTGTTGTTCAGTTCTGTTCTCTTTTTCTTATTATTACTGTGATAAGCGGCCCAGACAAACGTCGCCCACTTGAGTTGAACATTCTTTGAGACATAATTGACAAATTTGCACTTGAACTACTGTGCGGCTTTTGCCTCAAATACAACTATATATATATACATATATATATATAAATTTTAACAGCTGTCTGGCGTTGCCAACTGCTTCTAAATTGTGTTGCAATTCAAATAAATTATAATTGATTATCGCTGACAAAACTGTCCGCTAATCAGCCATTGACCAGTCGGTAACGACAAGGAAAAATTAAAAAACAAGCCCCTAAGCTCGATAATTAATCAGCAATTATTTATGTACCTTATGCAGATATTTGGCAACACTTCTCGCCATTAACATTTACCTAACATTGCGCAAAGCCTAACAATGCAGAAGTTGGCAACTCTTTGCAATCGATTGGAAAATTGATGGGCGGGCTTTATCTTTTGTTATCGTTATCAAAATCAATGCTAATCGGTTATTGACCACCAAAGACGTTGACAAATTAGTTACAATTAGTTACATTAAAACTGAACCGAATTGAGTAAAGTGTGGTTTAGATGTATACAATAAGCTAAGCAAATCCATATATTTAAATAAATAAATATAGTCCATAACCTGGCTTAGCCAATTAAACTGGCAATAGGCTTTACGATCTGACATCACTTACATTTTCTCGTGTGACATGCAAATTGGTGTTCATTTTGAAAAATAATAAACTTTTTCCTTTCTATGTGATTTTCATGAGTTCAAGTAAGGCTTACAGATTTGCTTGATGTTCTTATGTAAAATTGATATTTCGAATGTACTATAATATGTATATCTTACCCTCACTCTCCGTTTCTGTCACTTGTCTTTCTTTACCTTGTCTCGTATTATTTCATCATAGTTGACTCTTACGTTCTGTCTCCTACTCAATTTCTCGTTCCCTTGTCCCTCCCTTTTTCTTTCTTTCTTTCTCTCGCTTGTCTCACATGACCACTCTCTCTCTCTTTGTCTCTATCTCTCCCTCTCTATCTTTCTCTCTCTCCCTCTCTCTCTCTCTCTCTCTCTGTCTCTACTCCGCCTTATCCCTTTTTTGCTTATTTTCCCTGTCCCTTTTTACCTGCCTCGCGCACTGGCTTCAAATATCGCCCTTCTATGCGATTTTCATGTCTCCAATATTGCAATCAGAGTATTGAGAACAGAATATAGAATTATAGTCTGTTTTACAAAGCCAGTATCCTGTAGCGAGTTACTTTTAACTAATGTATTATCTGTTTCGTTTTTACCTTCTAGGCATATGGGCCCATTCCAGATCTAACCATAAATGCCATCAATCAGCGTGATTTAATATACAGCCTCACTCTGAACGTGGCTGGCCACTGCTGGCAGCTGTGCCTCTGCATCAACTGTAAGGTGGTGCTGTGTGCCAAACGCTTGACGGCCGGCGCTGGCGCCACGCCCACACTCTACCTCATCAACAGCCAGCTGTTGTGCAGCAACGAACAGCTAGCGCTCCGACGCAGCCATAAATCCTATTCGGAGGCCTTTGAGCTGCTAATCATGGATAACGATGATGCTGCGCCAGTTGGTGGAGCAACAGCCGTTGTCAATTTGCCGCCACCGACATCTACAGCATCGTTGACGGGCATTGTCAGCTCCTCGTCCAGCCTGAGCATTGGCTCACTGTCCACCCAGGCGCCGCTCGATGGCCGGCTGCAGCGTTTGCGCCAGCTGCAGGCACATCAGCAGGCGCGACTTCAGTCCGAGATCAACGGGACCAATGAGCGTATCGAACGCTACACGGAGCAGCAGTTCGCGCTGCTGAAGAGCTTTCGCGAGAAGTGCGACCAGGAATGGGCGCTCCTCGCGCGTCAAATACAACAAATACCTGAACAGGATTGCGAGCTGCTCGATCGTGCCATGCCCGTTGCCCTGGAGGTGACGGGCGGCGGCAATGGCTGCATTGGCTATGCTGCCGGACCGGGTGGACGGCGTCGCAATACCATAAGCAGCCGGCGTGAGCTGGGCATGCCTGCCACGCCCACCACACCACTATTGCAACCGCCCAGTTTTTTGCCCTTGACGCAAGATGCGTCGTCGTTGCAGCAGCAGCAGCAGCAACAACAGCAGCCGCTGCCCAGCGCCACCATTTTAACCACGCGCAAAATGTCCAACTTTGATACGCCGCCTGCCACACCAGAAGCCACGCCCATGAGCGTGGGCAACAGCCCCACCTTCAGGCAACAGCAGCAGCAGGCCTCGGCTGTTGCCAACAACACGTTGCTGCTGGCCAAGGCGTCTGCGGCCGCCACGACGAGCGCAGATGATGCCGACGACTGTCTGTTCGATCTGGAGGATGTCGATGGAGTCATCCAGACATCGCCCATCTATCAGCAGCAGCAGCAGCAGCACTATCAACGGCTGCACCAACAGCAGCAGCAGCAGCAACAGCTGCACCATCAGCACGAGGACAACATGAGCGATGCCGACGAGGCGGAAGGTAAGAGCAGCCAGATGCGAGTTAGTGCCATATTTTCCACTCAGATGCAATGAACTTTCTGTAGAGTATAAAACACGTCGCCCCAATTATTGCCTACAGAGATCTTTGCATACATTTTCCGTCCATTCCGCCCAAAGCGTCCAGCTTCACCAAAATTAACTATGTCAAATTGTAGCCGATCAGTTCTTAAATTGATCAATCAGTCATTCATTCAATCATTCAGTTTTATACAAATAAAATAACTTGATTATTATTTCCTTTGTTCTTGTTGACGAGCCCGAATCAGCTCCTAATTTCTTTGTCTATTAACAGATTTAATGATATTTTCTTTACAGATGCCCTCGACTTGGACAGCTCGTTGCCCATAGCGATGAGGGGCGTTGGCGCCAACGGGCGGGGCGTGTCGGCGCATTTGCTCTATGCCCGGAGTCTGCCCGTGGAGATAGCCAACTCGCCGTTGGCGGAACGTGCCAATAACAATAACAATCAGCAGCATGTTCTGCTCGAGGATGACGAGGTGAGTGTGTACAGTAAATATTGGCCAAAGCGAATCTGAATTTAATTTTTGTCTATCGTCCATTGCAGGTTCTGGACAATACTGTGGACATAGCAGCCAGCATTAAGGCCTTGGCCAAGAGCGTGCATGGCGAGGCTGTTTTTGGGGACTTGCCACGCCCCCGTCTGCGCTCCCAGATCTAAATGTTTTGAAACGACAACAACTACGTGAATCAGCGTATTTAATAATTTGTTATAAAAGAAAAAAAAAAAAGGAAAGAAACGCAAGAAAAAACTCAGCTGTTTATTCTAAACTAAATTAGTTTGCTCAACGAAAAACCGAGACACTTGAAGCGCCTTCATCAAGCACACCCAAACACACACACTCACACGCATACTATATATCTTTATAAAACCCACACATACACATACATACATGCATATGCACCCTAACATTTAGTTAAGCAACAAAAAGTTTAAGTAATTTCATGTAATTTCCCTACACCCTTTTTTTCTTGCTTTATTTTTTTAAGTGAAAAATTCGTGCTCTTCCGTTTGGATTAGCGAATTGTGAAATGTGTATTTTCTTTTTTTTTCCTTCTTCTACGTACGAAAAGTGTTCGGCATTGTCCGCCGTCACATTTGGAATTAATTAATTAACTGATGATGTTGTTAGTTTATACAATGAATTAATTATATATCTCGATGCATACAATACAAATACAAAACATACAAATACAAAATGCACACGACCAACCAACGTGTAAAACTGCAAACATAAAATGCCACAAAGTTTTCTTTTATTTCAATTCAAGTGTTTCTCGACCCAATTACTTAGATAGATAATAGGATGAATCATGTGGTTTAACTGGAGAAGACTCCTTCCTCATATCTCCTATCGCTGACAAGGCAAGGACATATAATATATAGACATTTCTTTGATGCCTAATCATGGATTAGTTTCCCATCCAATTAGTCGCCAACTTAACTTTCTTCAACCTATCATTCCCGATATAACCAAAACACAGATTCTTAGTGTTCACACGTATATATTTATATATCTTTGTTTGGAGGGAAATCCACAAATCGCTTTACTTAACAAAATAGTTTGTTGCTACTACGACATTATCGTATGGGGGGCTGGGGCAGTTGGACTATGTTGACATGCAGCTGGCGTAACTTAACTAAAAATAAAACCTAGGACTACAGCTTAGGGATAACTTTACAAAAGTAGGCGGCCAGTTGGCAACTCAGAACACGGCCGATAAGCGTTCAATTTCCAGCATATCGGCAAGTATTTCCTCGGTGCGTGTGCCAATCTTTTTGGCCACCTCGCTGCGCTCGGAATGGGCGAGCATGCGATAGGACCAAATGAGATCGCCATCGATAATGCAGCGCGATGGATTAATGCCCATTTTTTTGACCGTTTTAATGGTGCGATACTCCTTGGGATTCAGGCCGCACAAATGATCCTGATAGGAGAGCAGCACATTCTGCAGCATAAGGAATCGCCTGTAAACCTTCTCCGGCAACGGCAGACAGTAGCCCAGGGCGCCATCTAAGGTGCCATAGATGACCAAGTGTTTGTTCTCGTAGAGGAAGGGCTGACGGTGATGCAGGCCACGTTGATGGCACTGCACACGGAACATGGTGTTGACTACCTGGCCCAGGTGATAATCGGCCTTGCGCAGCAGCTTCTGGCCGCCCAAAGATTCGCGCGCCTCCGGCTGATACATATAGACAATGAGATTGCGCTCCGCATCGGTGACCAGAAAGCCCAGATTCGAGTTATCCACCATAAACTCAATGCCAAAGACCTCGAGCGGATTGAAATCGCGCGAGGCCAGCGATAACGTTCGATACTCCTCCTGGAAGCGCAGCAAACTGATCGATTTATAGACGTCCGCTATAAAGATCAGAGATTTGACGGTAATAATCTGATGCACGTAGATGTTGGTATCGATGAAGGCGACGCCAATGAGATCACCATCGCGTAGCTGCCAGATATAAATCTTTTGGCCGAGACCGGTTACCAGGAAACCAACCACATCGGAGATGGCCGAAACGGGTCCCTTTTGTTCCTTCTTGAAGACCTCCTTGAGCTTGAACTTGGTCATGGGCTTGCCCGGTTCCGGCACCACCTCAATAATATCATAGATATGTATATTGCCGCGACTGGTGATATCCTCGCTATAGTTGAAATTTGTACCGATACACAGGTACTCCTTTAATCCGGAGCGTGTGCCCTCATACGAGAGTTTCACTATCTTGAAGGCGGTGACATGCTCCCACGGCTCGAATTGTATGGAAGCATCGGGCACAATTTCCCAGGTCTCCGGACTGATGAGCACCATTTCAAACAGTGAGCCAATTGGGTAAATGAAACGCTCGCCGCGACTCTCCTCAGACAGCTCCTTGTCCTCGCCATTGAAGCGATAATATTTGGTCATGGGCTCCTCCTTCTGCGTAATCAGGCAATAAACGCGATTCTCGCGATGATAGACCAGCTGGCGAGGCGTGCAACGTAGCGGCACCTTACGCACCGGCCAGGCGGCATCATAGCTCAAATAGCTGGGCAGCACCGAGATCTTCAGCTCGTATGTGGTATCGAAATAAAGAAAACCATGTGGTATATTCACATTATTGAATGCCGCAAAGCTGCGCACATCCGCATTGCCGAGCAGCCGATGGATGCGCAGTTCGCCGCGTGCGGTGAGAAATACAAAAACGGGATTCATGCCGCACACCATGATCCCAGCCAGGCCGCCCACGTTTGAGAAATAGCGCAGCTTCTGCACATATTTGGGCTGCATATTGTAGGATTCGGCCTCCTCAGCCTCATCGCCGTCCAGCTCAATGTGCGTGGGCTGCTGATCCAGCAGATGCAGTTGCTCCAGCTTCCGAAATCGTATCTTCAGATGACCCTTGGCATAGCGAAACACCTGATAGATGAGCAGCTCGAGCCGTGTGCGCACCAGCAGCAATGGTCGCTCGCCATGCTGACCCAGGCCCACCAGGCACAGCTCCAGCGGCAATGGGGAGTTTGCATGCTGCGGCATGCACGCGTGCAATATGCCCGCCTTGGAGTTCTCCTGCGTCAGCGAAATGGGCACAAATTCCATGGCATCGTTCAGGACCAGCGCCCCATTCCCCACATCATTGACCAAGTAGACAAGCTTCATGTCCGGCATGGAATAGATCTCAAGTGTGCCACTTTGGCGTGCCACAACCAGCCAGTAGCTAGGCTTGGCCTGTACCAGCTGGCGGCGCCACCAGTCCGAGTTCTTCTGCTTCGACTGCTTGGCCAAATCGGCCATACTGTTCAGCTTGAAGGCGTTACCCGCATCGCCATACAGTAAATCCTCCTCATCCTCCACCTTCATGTGCGGCTCGGCCTTCATGTAACCGCCAAAGCTATTGGCAAAACCGGGGCCCGAGCTGCCAGTCAAATTGAGCACATCGTCCGCCTTGCATGTAAACAGTCCGGATAAATCCTTGTACGCTGCAATGGCCACCACAGCAGGCGAACTGCTGATGGTGTGCTTATTGATGGCCAGCCGGGGTGTGCCGCGGGTCTCGCGCAGCGCCAGCGTTATAACCTGTCCGTTGAGCACGCGCAGGCAGACATAAGGATCAGCTATGGACACCTGCACCACGGGCGAGCCCACATCGATCGGCACATTCTGGATTAGCCGAGTGCCCTGCAGCAAACGCACATGACGTGTGGTTACCTGAGGGATATAAGTATACAATATAAACAAGGCGTTTGGTTCCTGAGATAGACGCGACTAGCTGTTCGATTGTAACGATTCGCCTATTAGCACTCTTCTAAAATATAAATCCCTAATTCCAAAAGGCACAGGGTATCAAAATTCCTTACCTGCACTATAAAGCGCTGCTGGCCAAGATTGCCCACATATATAGTTGGCTGGTTGACCGTGAAGCCCGTGTTCTCGATCTCGTTGATCTCCTGGCCTGTTTGCAGCACGAGGGTCGAGGAGCGTTGTGAGAGTAGCATAAAATCATGCTGCTCCTGGCGTGCCGTTGTCGGTTTACGTGTAGCATCATCAAACACCGTCCAGACATCCAGGCAGCCATCCAGCTCAAAGCTGGTGATGATCTGCGGATTGATGCAGTTGACAAATACCGAAAGTGCGCCATTTTTGCTATGTCCCGTGGCGGCGACTAGCTCAATCTTGACCTCATTGAGGGATTCCGCATGCGGGCGCAGTGTGCTGCCATCCTCCTCGAACTCCACACGCTCGCCGGCGCACATGTAATTGATGGGAGCTACATTGATGAGACTGTCGCAAACCTCAAAGATGAATTTGCGCAGCTGCAGCACCGAGGCCTTGGCGCCAGAGCCATATACCTCCAGCTCCTCGTCCTCAATACGACGGGATTTGGCTTGCGATGGTGCCTCATGCTGGTCCACATCATAGACCTGCTCCTCATCCAGCTGTGGGGGTGCCTGCTCAACAGCCTGCTGCTCCACGGCATTTTCCATGTCATCCAAAGTAATTACCGTGCTCTGATCCTCCTCGGTAAAGTGCAGCAGCAGCGAATTGCCCAGGCGAGAACCCAAGAATATATACTCCGTGTGGCACACACATATGCAGCTGGTCAGCACACTGGCCGCCGCCTTATGGAAGTGAAAGTTGCGCACAGTGCGCATGGAGTCTACGCACAGGGTAAGCACATAGAGATCGCCAGTGCGTAACGAAATAACTAATTTATCCACATCAATGAAAGCAAAATTGGCGCAGTCCAAGCTAAGGCGTACATTATCCTGCGGCTTGAGCGGAAAACTGGTGCTATTATCCGCCGAGCTATTTAGACTGACGCCATAAGGCGGCACGCTCTGATTCAAATAGATGATGGCATTCACAGTCATGACCAGGCAGCCGCCAATGGGCTTCTGTATGGGAAATACATGCAGGCAGTCATAGGGAAGGCTGTTTACAGTCCAGATAATGGGATGCACGCGCTGCTGTATATTCAGTGAGATGGCCACCAGCACGCAGGTGTCGGAGCGCACCTTAATGCGGCCGGCACAGGTGCGCACCGGTTCGTAGAGTATAAGCAATGTGGGCTCGTAATAGCCATGCAAAAATTGTATATCCAGCACATTGTCCAGCTTCTCGTCCAGATCAGCGAGCGCTATTAGATAGGATGCCATAATGGGCGTGCGTGTGACCATAGCTGTGGGCGCCTTTTTAATGGGCTTTACATCGGCCAGCTCAATCTCATCAAGACTGTTGTCCTTGCGAAAGGGCAGCACCACCAGGCGCTTGCCATATACGAGCATCACGGCGCAGCGCGCATCTGGATCCACACGCACCACAGGCACATGATAGCGTCCCGTCCAACCGCCGCGTATGTCCTCCTCCTCAAAATAATGTAGCGAGAGTGTTTTTAGGGTTTGCGTATCTGCGTCCAGTTGCAGCACAGACAGCTTTGCATCCTTAAAGCTAATCAGTAATGCATCCCGCATGCCGCCCGCCAGTGAGACACTCTGCAGAGACATAACATTTCCATAGAGCGAATAGCTGGCTAGGCATTCGAGGCGCATTTTGGGCGCCAGACGCATCTCGGTGGGATTAAGCTTTTGGCGCTGCACCGCATCCACGTTGGGCGCAATACGGTACACTTTGAGCACATTTGCGCCGGCCACGACCAGATTCTCCTCGAGATTGTTGAAAAAGCGACACGTAATGGCAAATTCCACCGATGTGGCCGCGTGTGTCTGTTTGCACATTGAGAACATCTTCGCGGATTTTTTTTAAATTTTAACAAATAACTAACTTAAACATATCCCACTGAGCAACACAAGAAGGACTGCCGGCGTTGTTTACATCTGTTTTACCATCTGCAGCAGAGCTGCAAAACTATCGTGAACAATATCGATAGTCATTGATTATAAGTGCACGAGCTATCGGGGGACTTTCAATGTGCTAATAAATTAAGGAAAAACTTAAGCTAACTAATTTTGATTATGTGATTCAACACAATTTTAGTGCATTCAGTACATAAAGTCTTATTTATATCGCAAGGAATCACTATCGATAGCTATTGGCTATTCTAGTTTGGTGTTGGCGCGATTACAGTAATATCGATAGCGCTGTCAATTGTTTTGCAGCTCTAGTTTTAGTGTAGTGCAGTTTTTAACATCCCTATTGCTCTCAAACTGGGAACCCAATAATTATAATTTAACCATCAAAAAATAATCATTCAGCATTAGAATGTAAAACGGCAAGTGCGTGTTAAATGTCTTTAGTTTTTAATGTACGATGTAACAACAATTTCATTCAAATAACTGGAAGCTTTTTTTTTGCTGCGTAGCTACGGTCCGTGCGCGTAAGAAAGACAGCGGTTGGCGTGTAGCCAAAGCATATGCAAACGCTTGCGTAAGAAAGAGTCAGCTCGATACAGCACAAGAAGCAGAAAAAGAATCCAAAATTTTGTAGCTCTCTGCTTCTGCTTTTGTTTGTGTCTTTGCAACAACCATTCAATATTTTATTTTTCAACTAAGTGCATGAGAACTAACTAATCAAGTGCAGGTGTGGGTGCAATTTAAAGTCTGGCTTGTGCAAAATAAAACGCAATTAACAAAAGCCAAAACAAACCACGCAAAAAGTTTTTATATGTGCGTGCGTGCGCGCGTGTGTGTGTGTGTGCGCATTATAATTATATATGTATACATGTGTGTCTCGTGCATATGTGTGTGCATACATATGTATTATTCCTGCAGGGGCAAAAGCAACAAACCAACCAACTTTGCTCTCTTTTTTATTTTTGTTGTTGGGTTTGTTATTGTAGGCAACAAATTTACGACGGACACACATATATCCATATATGTACGAAAAGGAAAAGGCAAAGAGCAGCAAATGAAAATTAGCGTGTGTAATAAATGTGTGAAAAGTGACTGGGCGTAAGGGTTTTAGTGTAACGGAGAGACACACGGGCAAGTAATTATTGTAAAGTTTTTGCAATAAGAGGGGGCGCACACAACAAAATTTGATTGCCCGAGCGGGCTGTGTGGCAGGCAAACCCCACCACGCGCCCCGGCACCCGTTGAAATGGCTAAAACTGCTGCTGGCCAGGTTAGTTGCGATTGTGGTTGCAGATTTCCGGCAAATTTGTTTATAATTCTTTTTTTTTTTTTTTTAGTATGTTCGCAAAAAGCAATTAAACTACCGCCTGACATGGACACAATAACAACAACAATAATACGAATTACTGCTGAGCGTAGTTGTAAATAGTTATAAATATAAACATGAAAACCATAACGCCGGATACATTAGCATCAGCAGCGCCGCAACAGCAGCAGCAACAACAACAGCAGCAGCATCAACATTTGCCCGCGCAAGGCGCCATCATTCCGCAACAACAACACATAACACCTGTGATTATGGAAGCAACAGCGCATGTGAATCTCGTGGAGGATGATGATGAAAAGGATCCGCTGGCACTAGACGCTGCAGCGCATCAGACAACGCCTTCTGAAGCGGCACAGCAGCAGCTGTCCGGGCCAGCAGCAGCGGCGGCTCTCAATTCAACCTCAGCTAATAAGCACACACATAGTCTGAGGTAAGCATTTGGTTTTATCTCTTGCAAATTTGCATTCACTCACCTTCTATCTGCTTGCCGCAGGCGCCACCTGCCACGCATCATTGTGAAACCTATACCGCCTGAGAAAAAGTCTATGCCCAGTGAGGATGCATTGCATAATGCTGGACTGCCGCCAGCACCAGCGCTGTTTGTGTCAGGCAGCATTGCGTCTGCACCAGCTGCATCCACGCCTGTGCGTGGCATTAGCAGTCGGCGCATACAACAACAACAGCAGGCCAAAGCAGCTGCGGCGGCGGCGGCAGCAGCAGCAGCGGAGGCAGCAGCAGCAGCTGCAACAGCAGCCGCCGCCAACGCCGGCGGCTCACCAAGCACCGCTAAAGCCGCAACACAAACCTCCACCATGCGTGAGGTGCTGGCCTCCATACCGGGCCTTAACAGCGTCAAACCTCGTCGGCGCAGCAACAAGAAACTAACAACTGCCGCGCAAATCGAACAGACCAAGGATGGCAAAATCGATTTGGAAACGCCCGATTCGATACTGGCATCAACAAATCTGCGCGCGCTGCTCAACAAACAAACGTTCTCGTTGCTACCGCCACTCTATCAGCACAATCTCATACAGCTGTTGCCGAGCGTGGATCGTGAGGCCAGCGAGGTGGTGCAGCCGTTGCAGCTGGAACAGCCCAGCACTAGCAGCGGCGGTGCCAGCATCAGCAGCTCCAACAGCGTTGCCAACGAAGCCATACGTCTGAGCGCCTCCTGCCTGAATAATGAGTTCTTTGCACGCGCTTGCCTGGAGTGGCGTGAACGTCTCAGCGAAGGCGAGTTTACGCCAGAGAATCAGATCAAGCTGAAAACGGAAGCGGAGCGCGAAAAGAACAAACTGGATCCGTGGAAACTCAAGCACTTTGAGCCCTATTGGGGCGAAAAGAATGCGAAGCGTGCGCCGAATTTAAACCCGCCAAGCAGCAAGCTTAAGCTGGAGCCAACAAGGCAGCAGCAACGGCCAGTGCCACCTGCGCCACCGCCACCAGCACCACCACCAACACAACAACAACAACCGCAGCAGCAACAACTACAACAAGCAACATGTGATAATGAGACTGAACTGAAATTTAATACGGTAGGTATTCGGAAATTAACTAAAATGATAAAGCTCTGAGAGCGCCATGTAATACACAGTGAACACTTGTGAACAGCATCCATTCATAAGAAACAATCATGTTCGACTTATCGAAAGCGTTTGTTTCTGTTTAATTATATGCTGTGTTTGGTTTAAACCCTGGTTCGTTATATTCATAACAAAATAAGGTTCAGCTCAACTTATGTTTTCGATTCAAAGCAAATGAAGATGGAGAATCAAGGCTTAAACAAGCTTGCTGCCCTGATTGAAAAAGTAGCGCATTCAGGGAGAACATTTTCAGAATTTCCACTTCAAACCAAAAAATTAGTTACTTATGTTAATTAAAATAACTCATATATACTTGCAGAGCACAAAGTGCGAAATGACAACCACAACAACAACTGCAGCTAGTATGGATACAACAACAACTGCTAGTGCCTCAGCAGAAGCAATAACAACAACGACAGACGCTGCAACTACAGAAACATCTAGTAGTAGTAGTAGTAGTAGTAGCAGCAGCGGCAGCAATGCTTTAACAGAGCAACAACGACGCATCCTCAAACGCCCCTCCAGCAGCCCCTCCCGACGCAAACGCAGTGATCCGACAACAATTGTCTTGGATGCGGTTGTAGTAGCTGATGAAGTGCCCACAACGTCAAAGGAGAGCAAACAAATGAAACGCGAATTAGCTGAGATTATTCCTAATGCCATGGCAAACGTAACAGATGTTGTTGATCATGCGGGGACAGCAGGAATAACAATAACAACAACAACAACATCTGCAAAAGCTAACAACCAGCAGCCACTTATCAACAGTACCTGTGATAAAATTGAGCCACCTGATGCGCAGACACTCGCCACAACAACAGCAACAACAATAACGACAGCAGCAACAGCAAACGCAACAAACGCTAAAGCAATTCCTGCAGCAGCAGTAACAACATCAACATCAAACATTGCAGAGACTATCACAAACTTTGCGGGCTATTTGCAGAATGTGGAGCTGTCAGAAGGTGTGTTAATTATAATGTATAAAAACTATTTTGTTTATACAAATTCTCTAAATGTTTAGATGCCAAAGCAACGGTCAATGTCGCCCCAATGTCAACTTCTGCAACAACTGCTTCAACAACAACAAACACCCATGACTTTGTATTTGCCGATACGATTGATCATGGTAAGCTTATTTTGACCATTTTAAATGCTAATTAAAATTTAGTTAATTAGTCATGTAGTTATTTACAAAATAATTTGGTTATGGTGTTATATAATTTTGTTGTAGTTTTTTTATTTTTCCCTGTTTCTTTTTATGTGTTTAAAACATTGTCCAAATAGAGTTCTGTAGCTGTATATATGTAGCTATATATCACAATTTTCTATTGGTTATATTAATTTAGTTTATATTAACTATTTGAAATTATATGTTTGTCAGTTCATTTTATTATTTACAATTTACTCTTGGCTTTAATTAAAAAATATGTCTTTACATGTTTTCAAAATTTTTTTGATCTAATGCACAATTTCGGAAAATTACATTTGTTAATCAAAATATATTTAGACTAAAAGTTAATATATTAACTTTTTGTTGATTTGTTTTGTTTTATGTATCTAGTTATAGTTAGTTATTAATATACATTTGGTTTTAAAATAATATTATTGTTAATTGTCGTAAATTTCTTGTAGCTTATCCCTATATATGTAATTGTTATTTTCTACCTTGATTCAACCGTCTTTTTTTGGCTTTTATAATATGTACTTTAGTTTCAAAATTGTTCTGTACTCAGTAATAAATATAATACTCTTTAATTGTTTTCCATTTGGCAAATAATTGTGATTATTTTTTCAAAATTTTTAAAAGTTGTCACTAATATTGAAACTCTATTAATGTATATTCCATCTCCTGCTTTAACGGTCATTCTTCAAATGTCGCCAACGCAGCTTACTTCCACAATCATCAAGCCGCCATCAGCCACGCCTACTACTCTTCATCATCATCGCCCAATTGTAATTTTGATTAATTTCTTCACCGCTTGTCAATTGACTAACTAATTTTTTCGTTTGCTTAGCGACAGCAACAATCATAAAAGTGGACGATCATTGTGATAAGCAGCTGGAGGATTCAGGCATGACGTTGGCCATGTCTATGCCCATGGCTAGCAGCTCTACAAGCTCATCGCT